GAAACTCGTCGAGAGAAGGTCGATCGGCGAGGGTGACCACCCCTCGAGCGCAAGACGCGCCGTTACCCAGCACGCTCCATTTACCACGATAGCTACGAATACGTGTATTACACTCGGGGTATCGAAATTCCCCTCGACGCCCTCGCCCGCGCCCGCGCGAGCGCCAGCCATTTCACCTGGAACGACAACCATCCGCGACATAACGATCCGATGTTTCGCGCGGGGAAAATTTCGCGGAAATTTCGGTTCCTGCGCCGACTAGACGCACAGCGCGGACAAACGCCCATTTTCGGAACGAAACTCGGTAACTTGAAAAGTACGAGCGACACAAAGCGATGCTTCAGACAGAAATTGTTGCTTATAAAGCTAGACATACGGTGGTTGTATTTTTGTTTTCATTATTCGAGTATCGTAGTTTTAAGACAGTGGGACAGCGAGTGTTCCAAGGGCCATAAAAGAGAAAGGAACTCGTGGAGACGAGGCCCGAGAGTTGCTGGGTTTTTCCGAAGGATGCGTGATCGAGGATGATGAGTGCGTGGTGATGAGAGTGGGGTGTGTTTGAGAATTTGTTGGAAGTGGGTAAGAAAATTTTTAAGTGATGGTGGGAGTTTTTAGAGAGCGTTGACCTGAGAAGAGAAGACCTGTACACTGCGCTATATCGTTCCTATTTATTTATATTTTATTCAATTATCTATTCCTGTGTTTTTTAAAATAAAACATATTTCTATACCATTGATGCCACATTATGGGGATGTTATAAAGTTTTTTCAGTGACGATAGATAGTTTACGTTTCGATTCCAATGTGATATAAATACAAAAAGAGAATTTATTTGCAGAAACTCGTTTTTGGAATGAAAATCATGTTATGTAGCATGGACTACTTAGCGGCATGTTCGTTACCTTCGATTTTCGTTGTGAATAGTCGAATTTTGGAATTCGGTCCACAGACGACCACACTGTGCGCCGACCCGGGCATGAAATTTACGCGACGCGTCTCTGCCGCTTTCACGCGATCTATGCCACGAAAATTTCGAGCAGTTTCCCGATGCAGCGTTCCTCACGCTCTTTTTAGCTCCTGGATCTTTTGGTCTTCAACCGGCGGAACTTGGACGGTTGAACGTTTCGAGGTGAGAAATTCTGGTCGGGGATTCTCGTGATCGTTTGGGGATGGTTTTACCTTAACGGAAATGTGGACGATGTAATAGGTTCTTTACGTTGCGAATTTCTTTGGGAATATGATTGCTTTTGAGATTGATGTTTCTCGAGTGTTTCAATGTAGATAGGATTCTGTTCGTGGAGAATAAAGGAAATTTGTAGATCTGTTGCGTAATCCATTGAACTAGGTTATTATTCATTACTGATGGTTATTAAACTCATCAGATAACGTCGACTATAATAGAAACAATAGGAGATCCAAATAGATTTCCTTATATTCTTCATTGAACCTCCATTTTGGAAGATTACAGTTAATAATTTTCCATTGGAAATTGCATTCTGAATACAGACACGAAGCTACCATAGAATTTACATATTTACAACCCCAAACTGAACTTTCCTTCGATAGATATGGACCAATAGCTGCGTGCAAAATGAAAGAAAAAGGTTCAGAAAGTGCAGCACATAGGAGGCAGCGAAACGTGTCCCATATGCAAGAATCGTATCCCGCGACGACGTCGCTCGATTACGAGCGCGTCTTATGAAATTGAATGGAAGTAATGCCGGGGCGCGTGGTGTTTGCGCAGAATTTAAGTGCGGCACTCGGCCGTGCGAGAGGGGACCAATTAAAGGTTCGAAGTTGAGAGGTGGGTATATCGCCGTTCCCAATTCCGTTTTCCAGCCACTCGTTCGCTCTCCATAAACAGGCAATGGAGTGGTATTGGCAGCGCGGCAAACGAAGGGGGGCGGGGAAGGGAAAAAAGTGGCGTCAGAATGGCGCGCAGCCTACGGATTTCAAGCAGCGCCGAATTGATCGTTTAATAATGCAAATGCGATTTCGATCCTTAAACCCTCGAGCGTTCCGTTTCTAATAGGATTCCGCTTAAAGCACTGACATCAGCTTTGCCAGCGACGGTTACTTTCGAGACGTTGACGTCTCGTTGAACGCGTCGAGCCGAGAATTTAGTCAAAATTCGAGCGAAGCGTGTATCGAAAGGCTGGGAACCGGAATTTCATTCGAATTTTAAGGACATTTTTCTTTTGCACGGTGTAGGCTTGAAATATAATTTCTTGGTGACATTCTGAAGTGGTTAGATTTTAGTGCGGACATTGATCTTTGGACGTGTCATTGTTTCGAAATATTCTGTTGGTAGCCTATAAAAATCTGGTTTAGATTGAACTTAGACTTGTAATTCAATTATCTAAATTCACTAAACTTGGAACTACTAACCAACTTCGGCAATACTATACTACTAATGTACTAATCACATGAACTACGAATATTCCAATTCCTCTTTTCCAAATTTCCCTGCCACTTTCCCAACCACAAGCATCTATCAAATCCGTTAAATTCAGAATGACAATATCTAAACATCCGAGTATTACTAAATGACTACCACAAATTCCAAAAGCAATCGCAAAGAAGTATTCCAATTCCTCGACTCCCCGCCATTTCCAAATTCTCAGCGACTTTTCCCGGTGAACCACTCGACCATCAATTAGAAAGTAATTCCCAGTAATCAGCTGGCCAGCTGTCACGCGATCGTGACACGTAAAACGGCCATAAATTCGCATCGGCTAGGGACCCGAATCCGAGAGGGTTCCCGAAGTCGGCGAAGGGATCCATCAAAATTTAGCCAGCGTATTCGTATCGTCGTGTCACGTGAATACGCGAGGGCTGGAAGAAGGGTGAGGAGGGGCCTCGCCGCAAATCTTGATTAACCTCTTCCGTCTTCGTCTCCTCGGCAAGTTCTCGAGTCCCCGAGCACGGTCTCTCGCGGGCGTGGTAACATCCATTTTCATCCCTCGATGACGTGTGTCCTGTTCGAGGCGACGATCGCTCACGTCGCTGCAGGGCGCCACTCGTTAAATCGTTCCCCGGAGAAACGTTTCGCGGTAATACTTAACTCCCGATGATCGTTACGTCGGGCGGGCGAGCTTTTAGGAGCGCCGTACAGGTGTCGGGCGAGAATTAACGAGACCATTAATCCGCGGGGCGGTTATAACTATTCGGTGACGTGGGAATTATTGTAATGGACGGTACGTGTGGTTTTTTCGGTGTAAATGTGTTTTAGGAAATTGTTCGGGAGATTCGGTGGTTTGGATGAGTATCGGGGTATGAAAATCGGAAATATTGAATGTTAGGGTAATTGTGATATCGATATTGAATATTAGATAGTGGAATGAGGGAGAATATAGTTTGTTATAATGTGATATTTTAAAATATTGTATAAATATATTTTAGGAAGTTGTTAGATACTGAAATGAATGAGAACACAATTAATTCTAACGTGATATCTTTAAGGGATGAAAACGGGGGATGTTGAATATTAAAATGGACAGAGCGAGCAAAGGATTTTTAACATTTCCATAGTTTCGCTATTTGCCTGTCCTCGTCACTTTGAAAAGGACTTTTGACTCACGTTCCTCGAGCTGATCGTCTCCGCTCGAGATGGCGGTCAATGAGAGACGCCGACTCAGCGACTTTTTACTATTACTATTATTACTACCGTGTCCGTAGCTCCTACGATTGGGTCACGCTATTTTCCGACATTCAGACACGAAGGATATTCCCTAACGATGACATTAGACCGCTTATATCCCGAGAACCAGCTGCAATTTAGAGTGCAATTTAGAGTGCAATTGAAATGCATTTTGATGGGAATATTCTCTTCTACCTCGTAACGCCTGAATCACCATAATACAATTAAACCTCCTACGAAAATAAAGAAGAGACTCGGATATGATTAAACCCTGCTCTATCTATAATTAAAACACACGAGAGTATCCAAAATTATTCGATAACTCAGCTAAGAACATCATCAACGATAAACCATCAGTAAAATCTTCATTATACAAAACGAGTCGCATTACGCGAAATTCTAAAATTCAAATCAGCCGCTATTCCCAGCGTCCTATTTATCGCGCTAATAAGCGCTCGAAAAATCCGGGGAATAAATTATTCGCGCTTTGTTTCGCGTCGCATAGCTCGCGGCGTTATTGGCTGACAACTTTTTGATACTCGACCGGGAACCCGGCGGCACTACATAAACCGGTCGAAAACTGCATCCGTTTTTACTTCCCGGCGTAAACTACATGAAATATGTCAACGGGCTGACAATAGCCGTCGGTGTGGTCCGTTGGCAGCGCGGACTGTTCCCGACTTAAATCACACATTTACCAAAGCATCCGCCGATCCATTGTCGTCGCAGCCACCCCGTCCACCCACCCCCGACACAGTTTTACACAGCGTTTCCACGCGCCGCGTCGTTCTATTTACACCCGGGAATTGTTTGAAATCGGCAACCGGATATCCGGATTAAAAAAATCTCGCCCGGCCACTTTACTGCGCGTGAAATTAATATCGATTAGGTCCGGGAAAGGCGCGGCCATTCCGCGCACTTGCGTTCCAAGCGAAATTACACGGAACGCCGGCGTTTTTCGGTGACCAGCTATTTGGCGATACTTTTTTCGGTAAATTTCGACGTGGAAAATGTTGTTCGATCAGAGAGTTTTCGAGGTATTTCTGCGTGAAACGAGGTGGAATGATTAATTGGTGTAATTTGGGAATTTTAGGGTATTTGAAAGTGTAGAGTAGAATATTGGAACGGTACTTGAGAGGAAGTATGGAATTTTTATGGTGTTGTTACTGTAATAGAGTTTATAACGATTCGAGAATTCGAGTCGTTGATTTGTTTGTATTGTTGGTATTGTTTCGCTTAGGAAAATTGATACTAAAGAATTGGAAAATATAATTGTAAGGAGTTTAGAGGTGATTAAAATGATTAATATAATTGGCCAGCAGATAAACGTAGCTAATTTCAATTCCGTTGATCTGTTCCAGAATTTCAGCGCCATTTCAAGTAGCTGCGGCCGCGCTGGTCCTCGCCGCCACGATCTCCGCTTTAATTGGACATTGTTATTCGGACCATAGAACACTCGTTGCCTGTGGATTATTCCTACTCAGTGGTAAGCATGCAACTCGAATGGGAATTTAATAAAAAAACTTTAATTCCGGATTATACTGATCGCTGCGTCGAACTCTTGAACAACGATTACGGATTGCACAAACCATTACCCGTACGATTCCCGTAATCCTTATAATTCCAAGGAACTAATGCAAAACGTATCTCTTAATACATTAAACAACTGCAGAATATTAATATCTCCCAACATAAGAATAACAACTAACAAAATATAAAATATACTCAATTTCCAAACCTTCACTCTTTTCAAACCAATGTCTACGTTTCGAGATCAAATTTCCATGTTCCGCATACTAAGTCGCAAACGAATGATTTGATTACTTAAACAGCAAAAGATCACAACGTAGTTTCGTCTTGTATTACTCAAGCAATCGATATATAATTTAGCTTCCTCTACTAAAGGTTTTATATATTCCAAAAGACAATCATCCAAATTCAATCTCCATTTTCACACACTTAATCCCAAGAACGAAACAAGCCCGTTATTAACAAAACAGAAAGAAATACCTTACTCAAACACACGAAACCCAAACGACAACATAACTCCTTCCTCCGTCACAATTAATTAAAAGACTCAAGACGAGCGTATAGACTCCGACCCAACACGACTGCGAGGTTAATTCAGCGTACTTACAGCGACAGCGTCGCGCGATGATTAAACACGGGATTCCACTTCCGCGGAAAATCCGCGGGAATCCCCGGGATGGTCACCGGAAGTAGATGGCGGGCGTCTCCCCGGCGACGCCCGCCGGCTCGCGTCGCGGAAAGTACATTTCACGCTTAGCGCGATCTCACGGAAGCTTACAAAGAAAAATGTCGGCCCGCGGCGGGCGTTAAGCATCATGGAATCCGCGTCGCCGGCGCCGGCGGTCGCCTCTAATCAGCGATAATCCGGCAAAAAGCCGTCGGCGCGGCCGGCAAGTCGCGCGGTGATTAACGCGGACGCTTTCAGCGCGCGCCGAAAATGATAAAAACGCAGGAAAACGGCGCCGCGATTCCCGAAAAGGATCGTTCGCTGGCTGGTCACGTATCGAGTCCGCGGCTTTTCCTTTCTTCGCGCGGTCCGCCGCGTGTCGACCACTTATACGCGTCCGGCGACCACTTCTTACCGCTGAAAAGCTAACAATGCGGCTTCCCCAGCGACAGAAGTCGTTTCGCACGTGAACGGTTCGTAGATCACCGCGGAACCGGTGACGCGTGTCTTTGTTTTGTATTGAGGAATCGTGGAGAAAATGTTTTTTAATGTTCCAGGAAGTTCCGATGGATGGATCGATTTATTAACCCTTTGCACTCGGAAGTTGTCCACTAGAAATATTTGAACATATTCTGATGAGGTAAAAATCGATATTTTGTGAAACTACCTCGAAGAGGAATCACACATACATTCAGGAAGGAAGATATTTTATTTCAATATTTCACAAATTGCTGCATTGTACAAGGTATAATATTAAACATCAAATTGTATAGTTTTACTGTATGAAGTCAAGTGATGAGTCACCTCTCGAGTGCAAAAGGGTAAGTCTGCTCTCTGAGAAATTTCAGATAGATCGTGTTTGGTTATTAAATGGAACGCATGTGTATTTTAATGTTATGTTTCATTGATAGGATTACAATGTGAGAGATATAACAATACGAGAAATTTATAGGAAGCAAAATTGTATCTAGATGCCGCAGCGTCGTAGCGACAACAGAGTGCAAAGGGTTAAACGGTGTTATGGTTTGAAAGTTGATTTGTATTTGCGAGAGGAGAGTTGGGTGTTCTTGGTAATGGAAATAGAATGTATTTTAGAAGGGTTAGAGTGAAATGGAATAAGAGGCTTGCAGAATTTGGATATGGAATTTAGGATTTCTCATGATAATTGAGAGGGTGGAGTAGAGTTGAATATTTTAGATAATGGAGAACAGCGGTATTTTGTGGGAGTTGAAACTGAAGTATAATGAAAGGCGGACTTGTAGAATTGATGAGTTGTAGGAAATGAGGAATATGATCGATATCTTTTTCTACTTGCATATATTCAAACATCCGCTGCATCCTTGTGTTCATACATAAATTAAGGAGCATTCATTTCTACCGAATTTCCCTGAATTAATCCCGAAACGCGAAGCATTTATCAAAATTCGGGGAGCAGCGACGCGTTATCGCTCGGCGTTAAGCGACGTGGAGCGGTAAAAGTCCAGCGATTCGAATAAAATTCGGCTGGCGCGAGTTAGGCGTGGCTCGCGTCGTGAAACGACGATTGAAGCCAGCGCGACGGTTGATCGGGAGATCGAGTGGACCGATTAAAAATCACTTGAACGGGATCGTCGCTCGGACGGAAGGATGAAACGCGCGGCGCCGCCGCTTACGAGTTCCGGCCAAATAATTCGACTCGATCGTCGAACTCGTCTGGCCGCGTGTAATTAGCGACTAGTTTATTGAATCCCGCTCGGTGTCGAGGCGCGTCTCAATGGAAAAATTCGAGCCGGATTTTTAATTAATCCGGCAGGGCTTCATCCTCCGCGCTCATTATTATGAGCCTTTCTCGACCGGCGGGGAAAAGGAAAGAGAGAAAAAAAGGTCGCGGGCTGAGTAGCGATTCCGGCTCGGGAAGAATTCTAAAATCCAAACGGCATCTGGGTTTATGTAATACATGATGTAATTAACCAACGCGGAATCTGTTGGAGATTCCTTTCAGTTTACTTGAATTAACACGGGCTCCCCGGAGGAATTTGCTCGAGTGATAAAGAATCCGATGGACGCACTCGAGAATTTTTTATATGTCAACGGACAAAGATGAATTCCCCATGAAATTTCCGCGGAGTTTATCGAAGCAAGGGAAATCTTGTTAGAAATGAATTACTGTAAGACATTGTTGCAGTACAATATTTTATCTCCTTGCGAATGGATTCCTGTACGATTCCCATTTACCGTGAGATTTTATTAAAAACGGCACTTCAAGGTACCTTTAGAACAATTAATAGTACTGCTAACGAATAAAAATTCAATTCTTTTCTATTGCAAATCGCAATGTACCAATTACAATACTTCATAAAATACAATTAAGCTCCTAATTTCTTCCTTCGGAACAAGTCACAAAGAGACAAACATTTTAATTATTCCTTTACGCATCACATAATCAATTCCATGATTTTCAAATTAAATACACTAAACTTTTATTAATAGATACGTCTTATAATCCACTTGCCACAAATTTCTTTCGCTTTACCAGCTCGATCGGTGAAATACCCGCAAACGAAACCATTAATCGCGCAGGAACGCGTGAAACTGAGCGTAACGCGTTTCCCCGTCGACGGGGGCCGGGAAATGACAAGAATTGAACGACTTTACATGGTCCGGGACGATACGGGAATTCGTCAGACGCTCGTCGTCGTGGGGAGAACGGTCCCCGTTGTTTCCGACGACACGGGACGCACGGTTGCGACGATGAAGTCATGCGGAACGCACCGGCGGATCAATTTCCACCATTTTCTCCGCGTCTCTCCCGTAGTTTCAACGTTTCTCTCTCGCGTCACGCGTCGCGACGGGGCGGCCGGATTTCGCGAGAAGTCGATACGAGCCGCGCGCCGTGAATTCGAAGATATAAGCACGCGAAAGCTCGCCAATTTTCTCCTACGCGATGCTGAAATATAAATTTCGATGGCAGCCGACGTTATTTTTCACTTGCCTCGCGCGCGGGATTTTAATCGAAACGCCGACTACTGCCGTTCCGCCGATAAACGTTACGAAAATCACTGGAATTCGTACAATTCTCGTGCTTCCCGTGCGAATAATTGAATTTTTCATTGGAGACGGGTCCACGGGAATAATGAAATACACCAAAAATAAATGAATTTCTTTACTAACGCCCAATATTTCGAATACTGGACACGAGGAAAATCTAAACCTATTAAACTACCATTTCCATTACCTTTTCCGATTACCGAATTTCAAAGAAAATATGAATTCTGCCTTCGGAATATCCGAAAAATCAAAGTTAATACTATTTTCTTCAATTTCTCACGTCACATCTAACAAATCAGTAATTTCTAATAATTCAACACGCAACGCATGAATCTCCGAATACACTAATCAAACTTTCCAAATCTCGAGGAACACTGATTAATCTCCAATCAAACCTCCCCGTAAAAACCGCAGCAAATAAAGCTGAGAACAAAATCATTGCTCTCGCCGAGGCAGCCGATACACGTTAATCCCCAGCAGGCGATCAATAATCAATCACTCGGAGTTCCTGCCGCTCACCCGCCTCAGACACAAAGTGCCGAATCGAGTCACAAAGACGCTCTGGTTTCCGCTCGATCGTGCAGTTTTCATTTCGTGCGTTCCTTTCCTCGAGGATCGGCCGCGCGGCCGGGGTAATCACGGCGCGCCGAGGTAAAAGCGCCGGAACCCGGAACTTCCTCGCCGAGGGCTCGTAATTACGTGTCGGGGTGCGGGGCAAGAAGAAAAAGATGGACACCGAAAGGATACCCGAAAACGGGAGGAAGAGAGAGCAACCGGGTGAAACCGGGAAGGATCGGTCTGATTTATATTGAGCTTTGCCGGCGGACCACTCGCTCGCTCGGCCAGCCGACCCCTCAGCCTGCGAGCGAGTTCTTGGGGGCACGCGGCGCAGGCGCGCCGCTGGAATCCAGATCCAGGAATTTCTTTGGAATCCTCGTGGATTCTCCGCCTTGATCGATGACCCTTATTCCGCGCCGCGGGATTGTGATTCATATCTTTTAAACGTTCAGTTTCGCCTGCGGGGTTTATTAATAAAATTTCGAACACCCCTTTGGGAACAGGAATTTTAAGAATTCCAATTAAGCGACGGAGAGCGCTGTACCGTTGAGTTTGAGTTTTAATAGGCGGCCGCTTATTAATCGCGTGAAGTTTCGTTGCTGAACAGTGAGATTCTGGCTTTGGGAACCTGTGTTCTTCGTGGATTGGGTATTTGGATTGACGATGGAGTATTTTAGATTTAATTGTACTAGTAGTGGTGATAT